TATATATATATATATATCAACAGAAAAAATAAACGGATTTGTGTTGGAGTGAATGTTGATATTTAAGAATCGCAAGTTAACACTCCGCTGTTAATGTTGATATTTAACAATAATTGTGTTAACATCAACATAATTGTTATATCAACAATATTTTAATATTATTGATATTATAAATTAGCATTAGTTAATGCGTTAATATCAACAATATTAACGAATGTTGATATTTACAATAATTGTGCTTCCTCTTATTAGTATTTCATGGGAATGGGGCAAAGCTATGATAAACCACATTTTATCAAAAAATGACATCTATATATCAAACTGCTCCTTAGTTTAGCTTTGAAAGAAATACTTTGCAAAAGATTTTTACATTTAGAAGAACCCAATTTTTACGAGTTAAAAGCACAATATGCAGAAAAACATTTTTTAAAATAAAATTTGGCTTATTTTTATATTGCTCCAAGTTCTTCAATTTGAAGACACTTTGTGTACAAATAAAAATATCAGCTGATTGTATTGGGCGACAAACATTCAGTTAATTATTGTGGATTGTTTTATTCTCAAAACTGACTTAGAACTAATATTTTGCAGTGTCCAGAAGAAAAGTGTCATGTTCTTTTTTTTACAAATTTTCTAACTAATTTATTTTACAGTATATATTTAATGATCTCTTAGAGTTGCAAAGATCAAAAGCATATTTGTTTTTAAATATGTTTTTGATCTTCGAACTGTACGCTTTTGATAAGCATCTTATGCTTTTGATATTCTTTAAATAAAACAATATTAGCAGTTGATAACAGGGTGTAAACTGTTATTGCACAAAATATTGTTGAAATGTTTTCCCGTGGTCTTTGATAGGTTAAATTAATTTTATAAAATAAGACAGTTTTAAATAGAGGTCTTATTTTAATAGTAAGTCAACTTTAATAAATTAATTAGTTAGCCTTGCTTTTCAGCTAATACAAGTTATATATTTTCTTCTTTAAAATTTTTAAACCTCCAGCTTATTTTTCACTGCCTAAAGAAGCACATCAAAATACTAAGCACTCAATTGACTAAACTTTTGCATCTCAAAGAGAATAATTAAAGAAGTTAGCCTACTGTCTAAATGAACGGTTCCCAAATGGATGTTCTGTGGAAACCTAGAGTTCTTCTTTCCTAGAGTACTTCTTCCTAGAGTACCTTCCTTTTAACTAATTATGATTTTCGAATCTTATAATTATTTTCATATCGAATTACTAGTCAAATATGTATTTAATATTTCTGTTATTTTTATGAAATTATTTAATGAAAATGCTTGTGAAGAAAGGAAATGAAAACATGTTTTTTCTATGAATGAATAATAAAAACATATGCATTTATGAAAAAGTGCCTTTGCATTTTGCATCGAATAAAAATCATAAAATTCAACAATGAAGAAGTATGTTTCTATGATAACCCTTTTTAACGTTCATTTTTGTCCTTTTCCTTCCTTTTTTAACGGAAACCATATTTCAGCTAATTCAGGTTCCTGAAAGGGTCGCAGGGGTTCCGAGAGTTAGTACCTTCTTTTTAACTAATTATGATTTTCGAATCTTGTAATTATATTCATATCGAATTAATAGTCAAATATATATTTAATATTTTTGTTATTTTTATGAAATTATTTAATGAAAATGCTTGTGAAGAAAGGAAATAAAAACAATGTTTTTTCTATGAATGAATAATAAAAAACATATGCATTTATGAAAAAAAGTGCCTTTGCATTTTGCATCGAATAAAAATAATAAGATTCAACAATGATGAAGTATGTTTATCTGATAACCCTTTTTAACGTTCCTTTTCGTCCTTTTTCCTTTCTAATTTAACGGAAACCTTATTTCAGTTAATTCATTTTAAGTTAATGCACGCACTAAAATCAAATTAAGAACTATACTAGATCAGTGAATTCAACAGTCCAGTAAATTCAATAATAAAACCCAATTTTAAAACTAATCTTCATTCTAATCTTCATCTAATCTGAGGAAAAAATTTCATTCTTCATTAATTCACTATATTATTAACAAAAATAAAAAATTCATATATCATTACATATTTGCAAAATATTTAATATTTTTTCGTTAATTAACATTATAAC